CTGATGTTTTGGGGTTGCTTTGCTGCTTCAAGCACTGGATGTCTTGACTGTGTGCATGGCATTATGAAATCTGAAGACCAAGACCAAAGAATTCTGGGGTGCAATGTAGTGCCCAGTGTCAGAAAGCTGGGTGTCCGTCAGTGGTCATGGGTCTTACCGCAGGACAATGACCCAAAGCACACGTCAAAAAGCACCCAGAAACGGTTTAAGACAAAGTGCTGTAGAGTGCTGAACTGGCCAGCAAGGAGTCCAGATTTCAATCCCATAGAGCGCCTGTGGAGAGATCTCAAACAGCAATTGTGAAAAGGAACCCTTCCAATCTGAGAGACCTGGAGCAGTTGGCGAAAGAAGAATTGTCTAAAATTCCAGTAGAGGTGTAAAAAGCTCATTGATGGTTACAGAAAGCGATTGATTTCAGTTATTTTTTCCAAGGGGTGTGCTACCAAATTTTAAATTGAGGGTGCCAATAATTTTGTCCAGTCCACATTTGGGGTTTGCGTGGAATGTGTCAGATTTGGCTTTGTTTCTCCACTTTTTGTTTCATACCAATACAAACAAAAGAAATAAACATGAGAATGCCTAAATATTTGTAATTGCAACAATTTTCTGGGTGATGTGGTGCATTATCTAACAGAAATGGGGGGGGGGCAATATTATTGACCGTGAATGTATACAGTTTTTTTTCTGTGTTGTGGCCCTTTTTGAATTGTATTAAAACATCCCTTCAGTACGGAATCAAGAAGCTGAATGACAGCAGAGGGTCACAAGGCAGCCACCCTAGGTCACATCCAAAGCTAATAACTAAGGCTTAATATTTGCACTGCAAACAAAGGTATAATGTCAACAGAAAGTGTATAGTAATCCTCAAGGTTTCTACAGAGCATCACTGTATAGACACAAACCTTCACTGTTTAACTAAAGCATTATTCCAAACAAAACATTTTTTTTAGTTTTTTTAATAGACTGTAGAAGAGTTAGGACTTTTGACATTTATTGCTGTCAGTGATGACACTGGGGAGATTTGTCCTCTCTTTGTTTCCCACTGACACCCCTGTGACACGGGACTAAAAGAGGGACTAGGGTTCACAGGGACAGGAAGGCATAGATAACTGTTAGAATCATTTGTGAGTATACTAGAAAATCTGTATTCATTGCTGCCTCTGTCCCTTTTGCAAAAGATTTTCCATAATTTCTGGGCCCTCTCATTACTGTCAATGGGACAGTAAATGGGAGGTCTCCACAATAAAAAATGGACAAGGGATCAAATTCTTACATAAACTATATAAACTGGGGAAAAAAAAAAACAAATACCCAAAAAAAATGAATATGTGGAACCATATTCAGGTGTCCTGCAGAGTATGAATCTCAATCTAGGAATGCTCCTGCACTTAGGGATGGACTCTATATGGATAGGACCACATCACAAATATCTTGGGATATGCACGCCTTGCTGCCCTCAAACGACCAGGTAAGTGCAAGTATACTGAGTGGAGAAAAACAAAAAGAGGGCGCAGCGGCCTAGTGCATTACCTTAAAAAATGTGTTTATTAAATAATAAAAGTAGGTATTGTACTCAAAAAATGACAATATAGTCAAAGGTACATCTTGCAGGAACAGCTCAGTCCAATCCGCACACTGTGTGTGCGTCCGTAATGGGAACTCTGGACCTCCAACAGCCTTGACGCGTTTCGAGGACTTGCCTCTTCCCTCAGAGCCAGTTTTCTTTTTCTCTAGAAATGAATGAGGCCTGCAACAAGTACAGTAACAGCAGAGTTCAGGCCCAATAAAATTGAATTGCATTCATGTTTTAATGTTTGTATGCATATGCTGAAGGCTCTCTATATTGCCTCCCGCTGGGATATCTATGTGTTGTCAGCTGATAACCGATTTGAAGTCTGTTATATTTTAGTGTGCTTATTATTGCTACACAGACTCTGTTGTCTAGCCAACGATATTGATTCTTGGCTATCTTTGTACCCTTTTAAGCTGTATTCTTGAATATTTGTATTATGCAACTTTTGGTTAAATAAAGAAATTACAAAAAAAAGATTGTATCACATTTTTTTTACATAGTTCCTCTATTACTAGCAAATGCATGCCCATTTGTTAAACAAACATACTGAGAACATGAGAAACCTGGATGATAAAGGTTAGTGATATATTAAAGTGTAAGTCAACAAAAGATAATCTTCACTTAGCAGTCAAAAAATAATGATATTGTTGACACCCCCTCACCCCACACTGAAAACTTACAGGAGATCTAAGGTCATGCTTTCATTTTATAACATCATTATTGTAACCATAATATATACAATACCTATTTTTGACCATCCAATAAATGTTTACTTGAAAAATCTACCTTGCTTGTTGTGAGTGCTGCCTGTCTGCTTGCCATCTCTTTCCACAACTTCCTATATTCCCTGCATGTTTTGCAGCATCTCCTCAATGCCTAAGGACTACATGTCCCATGGTACCTTGTTGCCTACTAGCAGTGATTCCAGTATTGACCCCACCCCTGAAACTCCTCCACTCTGTAGTTCAGAAGGTGACACAGCAGTGCCTACTCATAGGGCATAGTGGATATATGTCACAGAATTCAAAGAAGTAAATGTATGGAGATCTTCACAAAGTGTCAGAGAAGACAAAGTGTGCCCAGGCACACAGTGTGCCAACGCAGAATGCCCATCAGTCGTGCCCGTTCTCATGCACTTGCGCACACCCGCTACTGGACGGGCACCAAGGGGCTATTTAAATATATAGTAAACATTTACTCTTTAATGGAGCTCAGCTTTGAAGGATATAACTATATTTCTAGTATAGAAATCTGAATGGGTCAAATTCTTGTTTCCATAAGAGGTTTTTATTGTAAAGTTTTCAGTGCATACATAACAATGTCACTCAGCCTTATAGTGGAAGTATAAAACAAGGACCAATAAAAATAAAAATAAAATGGGGCAAGCAACAAACTAAGAATACAAAACAAATCAAAACTGAAAAGTAATATAAAACAAGAGGGAAGTGGCAATGGGTGGTTCTCCAAGATCAACCCTAATAGACCGGGATGGCGACAAGCCTACGATCTTGCTTCGTAAGGGAATGCAAAGAACCTTTCCATACACTATCTTATCCCTCCTTACTGTATCTACCCAGAATTGCCACAAAGGAGTCCAATGAATTCTATATATATTTGGCATTCCCAACACTAGAATGAGGAACATATCATTGACATTTATCCTATCACCAAGCTCACTGTTTTAGACCCACAGGACTGTGAATCCAACAACAATTCACTTAGTTCTCTCTCTCTCTCTCTCCCAGTCTGGATTCATTTGTACAGGGGATTACAGCTATATTAAAAACAGACATACAACCCCAATTCCACAAAAGTTGGGATGATTAAAAAACAGTATGAAATGATAACTTTTGAAACTATTGGCAGCAAAAAGTTGGAACAGGCCCATATTTACCACAGTGTAGCATTCCCTCTTCTTTCAACAACACTCTACCAACATCTAGGAACTGAAGAGACCAGTTCTGGAGTTTTGAGAGAGGAATGTTGTTCCATTCTTGCCTGCACTAGGATTCTAACTATCCAAAGGCCCTGAGTCCTTTCTGTCGTATTTTTCAAATTAAGATGCATCCAATATTTGCAAATGGTGAAAGGTTCAGACTGCAGGCAGAACAGCTAAGCACCCAGACTTTTCTACTATGAAGCCATGCTGTTGTCAGATGCAGTATGTGGTTTAGCAATGCCTGGTGAAATATGCAAGGCCTTCCCTGAGAAAGATGTCTTCTGGATGGGAGCCTATGCTGCTCCAAAAGCTGGATATATCATTCAGCATGGACGGTGCTTTCGGGATGTGCAAGCTGCCCATTCAATATTCCCTAATGCACCCCCATACCATCAGAGATGCAGGCTTTCAAACTGAGAGCTAATAACAAACTGGAAGGTTCCCTCTCTTCTTGGTTGTTAATAAGAATGTCTAGTTTTGATTTGCCTGACCACAGAACCGGTTTCCACATTGTAACAAACCATTTTAAATGAACTTTGGTCCAGAGAAGATGGTGGCATTTCTGGATCATGTTCAGATATGGCTTCTTCTTTGCATGATAGAGCTTCAACTTGCATTTTTGGATGGCACAGAAAACTGTGTTCCCAAACTGATTTTTGGAAGTATTCCGATAATGATGTCCATCATAGAATCATGCCTGTTTTTAATGCAGTGCCATCTGAGGGCCTGAAGATCATGGGCATTCAATATTGTGTTTTGCCATGTATTGTACCTTGTGCAGATATTTCTCCAGATGCAAAATTGACAATTTTTAGATGCAGCTTTTAAGATTGGTAAATCTCTGCCCATCTTTACTTCTGAGACACCCTGACTCTCTAAAATGCCCCCCCCCCCCCCCGCCGCCATGTTAAAATACCGGGCCGGCCGCTCAACTCTTCTGTGGCAGAAGAGAGGAGGAGTCCAAGTCAGCAGTGCAGCAGCGCCAGGCAGGGCCCAAAGCAGCTGCAACTTAAAACGGAGTTCCAGTTGAAAAAAAAACTAGCTGCTGACTTTTAAAATACAGCCACTTACCTGTCCCTCGGTCCAGCGGTGTCCCCACCACGGCTGGTTTCTCAGGCCATCTTCTCTCCCTGGAACCAGCATCTTTAGTGTGGGCACCCGGCTGTGACAGCTTGCGGCTCCATAGCCGGGTGCCCACTGCGCATGTGCCAGAAGCACTGCGCTTTGTGAATGGCCCCGTAGTCTTCTGGGACCTGTCACAGAAGACTATGGGGAGGGAGGGGGGAGGACAACTTCCACTTCCGATCACTTAGGCGATCGCTGCGGAAGTGGGAGCGGGTACCTGTCAAATCTGGGTACCCGCCCCCCCCCCCTCCTGCTCCTCATAGGTGCCAATCTTCTTAGTGGAGAGTGGGGGTCAAAGCATTAAAGTGGAACTTCCCCTTTTGGGTCGAACTCCGCTTTAGGCCTGCGCCGCCCTTAGATTGGGGTCATGTTCACTGCACTGCAGAGCCGATGGGGTGCGCTGAAGACATCTTTGTGAGTCCCACCCTCAGAGAGGATGCTGGCCAGGTATGTCCTCCCCCTCCATAGACTGCCTGTGGACTGCTATACCAAACTGTATATATGTGCATTGCTGAAAGGTCTCTGGTCATCTCCTGTATTATATCTGCAGTCTCTGGTCATCTCCTGTACTATGTCCGCAGTCTCTGGTCATCTCCTGTACTATGTCCGCAGTCTCTGGTCATCTCCTGTACTATGTCCGCAGTCTCTGGTCTTTTCCTGTACTATGTCCGCAGTCTCTGGTCATCTCCTGTACTGTGTCCGCAGTCTCTGGTCACCTCCTATACTGTGTCCGCAGTCTCTGGTCATCTCCTGTACTATGTCCGCAGTCTCTGGTCATCTCCTGTACTATGTCCGCAGTCTCTGGTCATCTCCTGTACTATGTCCGCAGTCTCTGGTCTTTTCCTGTACTATGTCCGCAGTCTCTGGTCATCTCCTGTACTATGTCCGCAGTCTCTGCTCACCGCAGTCCTGTACTATGTCCGCAGTCTCTGGTCACCTCCTGTAGTACGTCCACAGTCTCTGGTCTTCTCCTGTAGTAAATCCGCAGTCTATGGTCAACTCCTGCAGTACATCCGCAGTCTCTGGTCAACCGCAGTCCTGCAGTCATCCGCAGTCTCTGTTCTTCTCCCTCCTGTAGTACATCCACAGTCTCTGGTCATCTCCTGTAGTAAATCATCCGCAGTCTCTGGTCATCTCCCTTAGTACATCCGCAGTCTCTGGTCATCTTCCATAGTACATCCGCAGTCTCTGTTCATCTGTAGTACATCCCTTAGTACATCTCCTGCAGTACATCCGCAGTCTCTGGTCATCTGTTCCGCATCTCCCATCTCCCTTAGTACATCCGCAGTCTCTGGTCATCTCCTGCAGTACATCCGCAGTCTCTGGTCATCTCCTGCAGTACATCCGCAGTCTCTGGTCATCTCCTGCAGTACATCCGCAGTCTCTGGTCATCTCCTGCAGTACATCCGCAGTCTCTCCTGCAGTCATCTCCTGCATCTCCTGCAGTACATCCGCAGTCTCTGGTCATCTCCTGCAGTACATCCGCAGTCTCTGGTCATCTCCTGCAGTACATCCGCAGTCTCTGGTCATCTCCTGCAGTACATCCGCAGTCTCTGGTCATCTCATCCGCAGTGCAGTACATCCGCAGTCTCTGGTCATCTCCTGTAGTACATCCGCAGTCTCTGGTCATCTCTTCTAGTACATCCGCAGTCTCTGGTCATTTCCTGTACTATATCTGCAGTCCATTGGTTCAGAATATGTTTCTTGTTTTCCTCCTCTAAAACCTAGATGCGTCTTATGGTCAGGTACATCTCATAGAGTGAAAAATACAGTACCTTATTTTTTTTCTTAAAATGGTACATTTTCTCATTTTAAACATTTGATGTTTTCTATTTTCTATTGTGAGTAAAATATGGGATGATATTTGCAAATCATTGCATTCTGTTTTTATGTAGATTTTACACAGCATCCCAACCTTTTTTTGGAATTCCGTTTGCAGTTAGAATTAATACATAACTGGATTAACACTGGCTACAAACACACACACATACATACATACATACATATATATATATATTCTGCTTTTACCTGGCTGCTGATTTGTTCCCGTTATTCCAACTTTGAGGCTTATAATGTAATGTACCCAGAATCAATGGACTGTGGTACTTGTTTTTTAATTTAAGAAAATAGCCTCTCAGGTCCTGTATTTGTTGCTACTTCCAGGTTCACTTTAAAGTTATTTCAAGCCACAGTTATGATTAGAAGGGGTGATCCCTCCATGGTAACAGACTGTTTGGGGTAAAGCTGCCACAATTTTCAATGGCTGGACACAAAGGAAAAGGATATTGTAACCTCAGAATTCTACGCGGATTTGGGTATAAAACAGCAATGCTACTCCCCTCCTCCCACCTCTCATAACTGCAGACTAGTAAAGAGGTTTTCTATGGAGCAGCCCAAAGGTGGAATACCCCTTTAAATAACATACTGAAACTCAGTACAATCCATTTCCACACAGCAGCCAAATGAAATGAAGCTTTTAAAGGGTAGTAATGAAAATTGATCTGTAAATGGTTGTTGTGCGTTAGTGGACACTTAATCTTGCCTGTCTATTAAAAAGAAAATGTTTTGTTTTCATGAAAGCCATACTTTTTTTTGACAATGAAAGCCAAAGAATTTTCATTGGTTAGTGAATAATCCAGCCCCTGCACAAATATGGGGAGAGGGTGACTTCACCCCATAGTTCACTGCTATCTCATTTCTCTGCACCCTTTGTACCATCATGGCATTGAGCAAAATGGTACTGCCAGCCTTCCCTGTGAAATCAGCACCGGGAGCTCAGCTCCTATTTGCACAGCCTTCCGCAAACAGTTTTGTCAATTATTAATTAGGCAGCTGAGAGCCAGGAAACTGAGACCAGAGGGAGGGAGAGAGAGAGAGATAGGGGAGGGAGGTAGGAGTCAGGATAAGTAAGGTGTGAGGAAGAGAAGACACAAGGAGAGTACTACCAAGGTGAAGACAATACAAGTTTACAGGAGATGATGGAGGGCGACAAGTGACATTTCTACTGGACCTCAGACATTGATTAATGACCAGCAGCTGGTAAAGGGACAAGAGAACCTGTCTTGCCCTGTGGGGTTCCAAGACTGAAAACCTGGACTGAGGACACACAGCCGTAATGGCTACAGGTAAGCGTGCCTAGAGACTAAGGCTTGCACACTTTCATTGGCAGATAGTCACCTGTGCCAAAGCAATTTGTCCCCCCCCCCCCCCATTCAAATGCAAACACTTGTTCACAGTGTATTAATAGATAAGACAGGAAAGGAAGGCTGCCTGACACCACTTGGACATTACAAACCAGGAATGTAGTTAAGGCATTAAGAAGAATTTCACCAGGACAGCAAAAGAAGGTCCCAACAACTTCCAAACTCACATCTAGGATACAAGGGTCCCTATGCGCCAGAAGGCCCTTGAGCAGCTGCTTATTCTACACATACTGAATATCCTCTCCTGCCCACCGTATATACATAATGAGAATGCAGGGCTTGGAAGATCATCTAACGCAAATCACCATTCTGTGAGCCACCATAACGTAAGTCCTCATCCACACTGGACGTTTTTGTCTTTTGACGTTTTTTTCCTACAGCCAGTAAACTCCCCAGCATGTTACATAGACTGTAATCAACGTTTTTTGGCAGGGAGATGCTTCCTGGCTGGAAAAAAAACCCAGGACTAGTGGGTTTCTAGAGGAGTTTTTTTTACCTATATAAACGCCGCAAACAGGCAGTTTTTAACTTTTAAAATTTTCAGAGCCGATACAATCACTGTGCAGTGCAAACTGTGTGGATGACATCTATATAAAAACCCTGTAATAACTAAACAGATTCCCTATGTTCTCCTTTCTATTATGTCTCTTGAATAGAAAGAGCACTATTTAGATACTGTACATATTGATGTATATAGATCCAGCAAGAGAACGAGTCACATAATTTTGAATAAAATGAATACACAGTTCAGGCATCTTTATTAGATATTACTATCTACCTAGTAAGATGGAGATATAAGAGGGAGGCTGGTTTGTCTGGGATCCCTATGGAGTCTCTGGCTTCGTATATGCTTTGGATATTCCAACAGTAAGATCTCCCTGCCCTAGTTCCCTACTAGGAGTTTTGGGAGCGCCCCCCGCCAACATAAGAGCTTGTTAGCACCATGTATATTAAGCTGCTTTGATCGACCCAGGTTCAATGCAAAGAATCATAGAAAGAAACTATTTTCTGTGTGTCCTGTTCACACCGTACAGGTGCATTGCATAAAAATGTAGCACGCCTGCATTTTTATGCAACACACAAAAGTGTCTGTCAACACGTGTCAATGAGCATGCATTTTCTGTGCTTTATGCATGTTGTGAACAAGCCCTTACCCTCTCCACGTTGGCCCCAACTTCCAACTCGGTCCAGCATTGGGGCTTCTCTTCAGGACTGAGGACACATTGCCATTATGACCATTTTTGTGAGCCCAACCTGTTATTTACACTACACATCACGCAGGTTCAGCTTATAGTATTTCAGGACTGATTGGCGATCATGTCATTACATGAGCGGCACTCAGTCCTAGAAGAATGCATACCCTGGCCACTGCCAGAGAAAGTAGAGGAAGTCCTAGTGACATCAGATCGGCAAGCAGACTGGTGGAGGGGAGCTTCAGGTTGGCGGGTAGAAGTAACATGGCAGGAGTTTAGAGTTAGGGTGACCAGTGAAGGGGATTATGCTACATGAAATCTTTTATCCAACCTATATAAAATGGCTGCTGCCTTTACTTCCAAGAGCCTTTCCATACTCTTTGTGTAGGTGATGGGCACTTGGGAGATGTAGTTCTTGGGGCTTGCCTATGTTACTAGCAGCTTCCACTGCAATAATTTTACAATTCTGGTGACAATGCCCCATGGAGCGATAAAAGTGGTTTCTCAACACACTACAGAAAAGTATAAAAGAACAAAACTAATGCTGAACCATATTGGAGGACAGTGGGGTTTGGATAGATTTGGGTAATACCTGGGCATTCACACTAAGTAGCACACTTGCACCTGGTTATGTGCTGGAAGCTGCCTTGGCAGTCAGGGGCAGGCGAGTACCTCAAAGGCAAGACACAGGCCTCATAAACCAGATAGGATTCCAGAGATAATCATATCAGCTAATTAGTGATAGTGACTTGCAGTAAAAGAGATAAGCTATTGAGGGTGAAAGGGAATTGCCTCCATCAACAATGGAATTTAGCACATATTCTCCCATTTCTACACATTCCCTAGAGGAACCATCATCTAAGGAATATGTTAGCTTTACATAGACATCATGATCAAATTGTTTCTGAAGTCCACATCAAAAAAATCACCAGAATAGTGTAGAGATTTACATATTAAGGTGCCCTTTTTCTGAAGTCAGTTCCGCTATTGCACTGCACTGGTGTTGCCACCATCACTTTGTCTGATATCAAATAAAGAGATTTTTTTCAAAATGTTTAAAAATCTTGTTTAACCACTTGCCTTCCAGAGGATTCCCCCCCCCCCCCCCCCCCCCCTTCCTGACCAGGCCATTTTTTGCGATATGGCACTGCGTTACTTTGACAACTGTGCGGTTATGCACTCAAATTAAATTTCCGTCCTTTTTCTTCCCACAAATGGAGCTTTCTTTCGGTGGTATTTCTGTGGTATTTCATCACCTCTGAGGTTTTTATTTTTTTGCACTATAAACAAAAAAAGTATTCTGCTACATTTGAAAAAAAAAATCCCAGTACGTGTAAATTAATTGGTTTACGTGAAAGTTCTAGCGTCTACAAATGGCGGTATAAATACTGGAATGTTTTTTTTTTAATACTAGTAATGGCGGCGATCAGCAACTTATAGCAGTACTGCAGCGGGCATTCTGACACGGGGGGGAACTGACTAACTGCCACTGACATCCCCAGTGACACTAATATAGTGATCAGTGGTAATAAACAGCACTGACACTGTACTAATGACACTGGGCAGGAAGGGGTTAACATCTGGGGCGATCAAAGGCTTACCTGTGTGCTGTTTTACAGTGTGCTGTGTGTGT